ACCGCTATCACATTGAAAACTTAAAATCATTCCATGGTCAGTCCTTCCCTCGTGATTACCATGTCTCTACTAACCCTCGTCAGACCATGAGTGTCTCCGCAACAACCACCGCTGTGGCGATCCAAGAACGTCACCCTACAAACGACATCACCCTAGAAGTACCAATGGGTCTTAAGCAACAAGACATCATCCAAATCACTCTTACCGGACCAGGTCTCGTCCTCACTATCTTAGGTATCATCATCTGCATCAACCTTCTCCAGTCATCCCTAACCTGTACTATTATCGCTCTGGCACCAATACCATGGATCGTGTATAACGACTATCATAATTTCATATCTCTAGGCCCAGGAGGAACCCCCTCCACTCTACTTGGATATGTCAAAATCACTTATCTTCGTATCTTTGCTCTATCTGATCCGTACAGCCCACCAAAAGCCTCCGAAGGTACAAATCCTCCATTTGGTTACTTACAAAGCGCCTACCAAAACCTTCCTATTCGCAGTGGTCCACGTCCCAAAGTTGCCGGTATTGCCCCCCAGAGACAAATAAGCCAGTATGGTTCTCGAGCAATGTATGAACTTCTCTGCACTAGCCTCAGTAATCTCGCACATCGACACTCGGACAAGGTCAAGACGGGGATATCCTGTTTCGAGAAGAAAGGTCTTGCACTCTTCTCTCTCAATCCTATCAACATTACCTGCAATGGAGAAATCTGCCATGTGCACCACAGCGACAATAGTTACCATATGAACCTTCATCCGGAGGATGCAAGGATTATTCTGGAAAAGGGTTGGGGTGAAAGACATCCAATGGCTGGCGCTTCTGCACCGCAAGCTGTTGCCGACTTCTTATCCTACCTTCCGATATCTCTGTCTGCGTGGTTTTCGCCAAGAGTTGTACCTGAACAATTCGTCCTGATTTATGCACCGAGGAATAAAGATGAGCTTCAAGTTGTATGTCATATCATCGAGGCAGCTGCATTCTGGGTCTGTGGCGAGCGATTGACACTTCCTATCGAGGGCGTTCCATTGATCGAAGAATCTGTTGTTGCTTAACGCACGTCGCTCGTGAATTGGTTGGAGGTTAAGAATTACGATCATGGATGGAGCAACGGGGTGGAGAAACAGAGCAGGGGATAGATAAAATTGAAACGGCAATGTGGTAAGAAGTAAAATGATGGTTGAAATGGATATACGAAAGGGGATTGGCAAATTGGTGCAGGAGTATTGGGTCAAAGTTGGTTTGCATACATGAAGATATACCCTTGATTGCATTCCATCACGTTGATATTTAGCTTATCCTTATTGCTACCAATGCATGGTGCTAGCTGTTGGCTCATTTTTTATTTTTAAAAAGGCACTTTTGAACATTTCGTGATCATCTTGATTTCAAATTGGTATTTTAAATTCTGGTATTTACCTAATGGTAGTATGTGGTAGGAAAAAACAATAAAGAAACCAACCCTAATCCTATGCTAGGAGAGTGAGTGTAAATAATCATGCAAATTGGCTCAACCCATGCTCCCAAAAACGTCTACGAAATCCGTGATTCAAATTGACAAAAGAAAAGAAGGCGTGTATGCTATCAGCGGAACATTAAACATCCGAATTTATGGCCTTCTTGCATCACACTCTTCAAGGAACTTATATATTCCCTCTAGGCCCTCATATTCATCTGATTCAGATAGATGTTCGCTGACCCTTGTAAAATATGCAGAGCCACTTTCGCTGATATCTTCTTCCATTGTTTCATAACCTTCGACCCAGGGATTTTCCGAGAATTCTTCAAGAATGTTATCATATTCATCTTGGTCAGGAGAGGACAAGGTAGTTTGTAGACAAGGAGATAACAGCTGCGATTGTGGTTCTGATTCGGCAGTAGGAGCAAAAGGGAATAGAAGAGCCATTTGCGTTCCTACAGCGGCGTCAAATTCGGCATCTTGATGTACAATCCCTCTCTGCACACCGACTTCATCACAAAGACGCTCTACAGATTCGGCATCACAGCCCGGGAATCGGACACGAAGGATGTGATTGTTCTCGAGGGTTATGGGGAGGTCGCCAAGAGAGGACAATTTTTTGAGATCGTTCATTGTTACTGCGAGGTCTTTGAGAGCGCGTGAGAAGTCGACGGACAGGATATCGAGAAAACCGGAAGTGTTGAGAGATGGAGCGGCTTGAGACATCTTTTGGGCACCGAATGGGAGTGCTCCAGCGAGAGGGGAGAGAGCGGTGACAGTTGGGTTGACAGCGAAGTCGATGTAAGAGCCTGGAGTGAATTTGGAAACAGATTGGATTTTGCGAGTGGTTTCCTCTTGGAGACAAGAGACAGCTTTGTAGCGCTTCTCGCCCATGGGAGTCATACCATCGAATTGGGCCTTTTGGCCAGAAAGGAAGAATGCTCGGACAGCTTGTGAAACATTGTTGACCACTTGTGCCGGAGCAGCAGGTGTATGAGAGAAGTATCGTGCACCTGCTCTTCCACCTCCTAAGCTGTAGCCTCCTGCTGTTCTAGGGAGTGCTCCACCACTCAAGTTTGGTCGGAGAGTTGAGGCAAATGGAGCTCGGCTTGTGAGACGAGACACAGCGGCTGCGGTGTTTGATTTTGGGAACGAAGCACGATCATGCTTAATAGCCTGCCCACTGGTGCTCATAAAGCGACGGACAGCAGCATTGACAGCACTTTGGGTGGTATACCATCGTCCCTTATTTTGACGGAGAAGGGCCGCCGGATGGATAGGATGGCGAGGTGTACTTCTCACAAAAATTGGTTGAAGTTCTGCGGTTACAGGCTTGCTCGTAACATCTTTGATGCGTAATTTAATGAGTTTCGTAGTTCTTTGAACTACGTTCCTGTGCAATATGTTAGAATACTGTCTTTAATGGTTGCAATGAGGACATTGGAGTTTCTCATATAGTTTAATAGATTGCAGGAATAACTTACTTTAGCATTCTCACGGCTACAGGCGCCCAGATGCCTCCAGACGACGCCATGATGAATACTGATTTATGAAGTTATCAAGACTCTTTGATTATTGTAAATGGTTTCGTACCTCGACGTCAGGACGGATCTTATCTGGGGATGTTATCGCCACTGCTCAGCCACATCACATGCCTGGACGTGGCTTAGAGACTAACACTTTTCTGGCTCTAGCGTCATCTCTGCGCTAGTGGTTAGCGCGAAAATAATTTTTGAACTTGAGCTTTAAAAGTTTTCCTCCTCTGCTTTTTTTGTCTCTACAACCAACCAACCAACATCTTCAACAACAACAACAACAATAATGAACATCATACCTCTTCTTTGTGTGAGGAGGTTTTCGATTTTCATTATGATTTAGTTTTCTTTACTTGGTATGCGTTTACTCCTCCCTGCTTGCTTCAATTGCCTCAATGATGAACACAAACACATATTGAACAATCCAACTCTTACACCGCAATGGAGATTTGTATTTTAATCTGAGCAATCTTGATTTACATCATGAATTTGAACCTCATACAGTTAAGCACACTGCTAACAGTTCTCCTCAGACAGTTTTATTTGCTATTATATTCTACAAGCTGCCACAAACTTTCAATTCCAAAGGTTCGTACATTACATATTTCTCACTTATTCTTTGCGCACCGTTGGGGGTGATGATGAAAACTCATTGGAAAGGCATTCCTCAATCCGAATTATACTGTCGAATCTTTGCATCTAAGTTTCAGCCTTGTCTGACCCATCGTTCATTTATTGCATATTATTGAAACATATCTTTTGTGCCAAAGCTAACCATACATGGCAACAGGTACATACACTTCCTCATCATCAATTTCATCGCATTACATGACGAACTTTGAACGAACGGGCGGACAGACTGTGCACTCCTGCTCCTATCTCTTATTAAAGCGAGGCGTACAAACCTTGTGGGAGGTAGACAGTTAGGAAGTGCTTGTTGAGAACTCGTCAGCTGATCTAATGCTCAATTGCTCTTGGATCATTTCGATACGCCGCTTGACCAATAACATCGATGCTAACCTATCTTTAGGTAATAACTACAATCTTTTCTTCTGCTGCCACACAGGACCATTGCATTAAAATGATGAAACTTATTCACACTGTTTGAAGTGGACTATGTCCGCTACTGAACGCACTATAAAAATCTGATTTAATGAGGTACGTTCTATTCTTACACAGGATGAAGAACTATTGCTAACAATTTTCCAGCCTGACATTTGCTTATGGTTCCTTGCATTTTTGATACCCTCAAAAATTTGTTCGAGTACTTTCGACAGTTGCTGACAATTTTGTCTCGTACATAGGCACACTTCGCAATCACGTCGGCAGGTGTTTCCCTACAAAGTGTAAGCTACTTCTTAACCTCTCCTTCTCACATCCTTTGCTCTGATGAACCCAAATATTCGCTGTGTTCTTTCCGAGTCAACCTTTGACGAAACACATATTTCACCTTGGAGAACTGAGATAGTACTCTTGTTACTCATTTCCAACCGTCTATCAACAAATTTTGGGATTTGAAGCTAACCTGCATAGACATAATGATAATTTAAGCTGGAGTTTGACCTGAAGTAAAGGGAAGAGATGTTACTAGATACCCAAAATATAAAGTTGCTGTTCTATTATTCATTAGCCTCTCTTGTCATGTGACTGTTCCATAATTAACTCGTGCGTCGTGAATGACTATTGTAATCTCGACTGATCGGTTGTGACACGATACAATGTTAGATTTGGTCAACAATAAGAAAGACGTTAACAAAAATAAGGCTTCTTCAATTGGCAACTTCGCGATTGGCGACACATCGTCCAACGCAAAACCTGCATGGCAGACACGATTCATGCGGAGGATACTGGGCTGAAAGACCCGTCTACTATTGGAATGAGGACATGTGTTTCTTCAATGGAAAGTAAGGATAAGAAAGGTCACTGGCGATTGAAGTGACGTGAGAGCGGAAATAGAGTAGTAATTAACTATATTAATACCGAAGCCGTCAGTAACAAAACCCCTACACCTTCAAACCTCCATCGCTTAATTCCCGCCAATACTCCTCTCTCGGAGCAAATACCAAATTCGGACCATCATGATCCGCAACCGCAAGATCTAATAATTGATACTCATCTACCCTATCCCTCCCATTTATATTTCCTGGCTGGCCCTCACCGAGCTTGCCAGCTTCGCCTGACGCTTTTTCAAAATCAAAATACCATAGAGTTTTCGCGATTGCGAGACTGGTCTCATGGTAAGCCATTGCTTTGCCGAGACAGCCGGTGTCTCCTAGGGCAAATGGAGCAAATGCTGCGCGCATGGAGGCGAGATTTTTCTCTTCTTTTGCGGTGCTGTTGAGAAGGTGGGAAGTTAATTGTTGTCTATAGAAGGGGGGTAGGGGGGGAAATGGGTTCGAATGGGGAGCATGGAAGTAATGAAGACGCAAAAGAAAAAGAGAAATTATGGGGCTGAAGTAAGGATTCACATCAAAGAATCGAATAAACCTACCTAAAACTTCCTTCCTCAGATGTCAACCACCTCTCCAGTCGAAAGGCAAATGGCTCTGGAAAATACTCATCATTATGCATCACACAATACGGATTGACACCAACCATTGTACCACGCGGTATTACGTGTCCATCGACCACAAAAGGTTCTGTATGATCCGAATAAGGTTCGCGCCAAAATGTGGCTAGAAATGGTGGTGACATTCGCAATGTTTCGTCAATACAGGCTCGAAGGTATCTGCACGAGGAGAGTTGGGCTCCGCTTTTTATGTCAAGGCCGGAGGAGAAGGTGTTGCGGATTTCGGTGGCGAGAAGAGTGTAGGCGGTTAGGTGGCGGGAGAGATAGAAGAAGAGAGAGCTGAGAGCTGCGGAGAGGGTTGTGCCGCCTGGGAGGATATATTTAGTGTTAGTGATGCTCATCACGGATAGATATGGGTCTGAAAAGACGCTCCTATTGAGCACAGAAAGAGCCGTCGAAAAAGCCAACTTTGAGGGGATCCAATAGGCTAAGAGAAGGGACTCAGGAAATCGACATAACTCACCCGCAGGAATAAAAAATACAGCTTCAGCCCATAATTCGCTACGCCCGAGACTCTCTATACCTTCACCAACTTCCCCTCCTGCAATAGAATAGAAATCATGCTTTGCGTCCTGAGGAAGGGCTACGCGTTTCTGTATTATACTCTGTATTGACTTGGAAAATGCCACGCCATTCTTCTGATTAAGTCGTCCGAGAAGTGGCCATGTTTTGGAAATTATTGGCCAGGCCACTACGTGGTAGATGGTTAGTTGGCTTCTTGAAGCAGAAAACGACAGTCATTGGAGAGAAGGACTAGTACGTCATGACTGACTCTGAAATTTGAAACAGATTCCCAGACGAAGAAATATGATCTACTCACTGAAAATGCTAACAAGCCCATTCATAGAAATCATTGCCCTCGGAAACGCCCTATTCCTCTCCTCCGTTTGCGTATCAAGCGGCTGTCCAAAAGCCAACTGGCCAGCCACATCTGTTGTAAGTCGTTCACACAACGGTGACATGTTAACAACTTCATTCTTGGTATCCAACAATAGCTTCAAGAACACATCAATCTCGCTACTCATGGTAGGCTCAAAAGAACGCAATGAACGTTCTGAAAGAACTTCTCCATATATCTTACGTTTTTGGCGATGCCGTTCTCGTTCCAGTGTCCCGAAAATGTTGACTTGGGGGTTGAATTGGGTGTGGGCGTAGATATGGGCTTTGTTTATGGAGGGGTGGAGGTAAATCGCTGGGTGGGTCAATACTTAACATTTTGAGTGGAGGGGGGGAAAGGGGGATGAATTACCTCGTAAAGTGCTGGAGGTGTTGAATACTAGACGGTTGGGAGCTTGTCTATATACAGGGCCTGTTTGACAGCAGTTAGTGTTAATTACCTTGAAAACAACAGCATGTTCTGGATAAAGCACTACTGAATAGACATACCATATTTCAAATGGTCGAAATACGTAGCGAGGTAGAGACGCTTTTTAAGCGCATGATAGCCACCATAGCCGTCTGTGAATTTGGCAACAAATGGGCCGGGATAGTTCCTTAACGGCTGTAGTACAAATTGATAGCTAAGAGCAAACAGGATCTAGTAAAGTCAAGGGATAAATTTTAGTTGAAATCATCGTGGCGGGAATACTAAGATGTTTCCTTACCAATGACACTATGATACCGAGAGCATAAACTGCCACTTTGGATGAACTGCCCAATGTGTCCATGGTAGAGAATAGAGAGAATCTGAAAGAATTTTCATACTCAGAATTCACGTTTATTTGGAGGTTTGAAGTGAGTTTGAAGATTCTCAACAATTTTCAGCACTTCAACTTTTGTTCACACCCACCAATAGAGTTGGAAAGAAGGGACCGAAGTGTGGTTCATTCAGATTGATAGAAAGGCATCTGTTGATCCAAGGATGCGCAGCCTCGTCTGCTATCCGGAGGCTTAGGAAGAAACTCTAGGTGTTAGGTAGATTTACCTATGAAATCAAGGCGGGGGAGGCGTAGAACTTCTGCTGACTGCAAGCTGTCAGTCAGTGGTCACTAATGCTGTGCTACTTTAACAGACAACATTGAATATGACATGACATGCAGTAAGGCTTGTAAATCATTCATGATTCACTATTTGAGAATGCATGACGTACCAGTTAATTCCAATATCGTGGTAGTGATGTAGTTGCTTATGTAGGCCTCTCTATTGTTCGTGAAGATACATATTGATGACTGCATGCTATTACGAAGCAATATACGACATACTACCGGTGAATATACTGATAGAGGAATGTGAACATTAAAAGATGTGTTTTGCCAAAGGAGTTATCAGACGAGAATACAATGCAGTTGTTTTTGCTCTTTGACTTAAATAATATCATCGTTTATTCTATGCATTTGAGAAAAGCAAGGTAGACTTCAGGCTCAAACGAACCAAACTTTCAATTTCACCACAAGGCCGATTCTGGTCGTTCAATCCTTGATCGATTCTACTAATCCCGTGAAATATTTCAACTTCTCGTATTGTGTAGCACTACCAACATGATTCATTGTCAAAATTCAACTTCCATTCGGGCGTGGAGATTCATGCTGTCAAAAAGGACTGTAAGGCGGGGAAAATAACATGCTGCGTTGCCGCCATTCTTTCATAATTTATTTGAATATTAAGGTGTCAAAATCGAAGGAAGACAGTAATTTACACAGTCTAGTATTATTATTTTTTGGTTGAATGATAACCATAGTTTTCGACATCCGAAATGCTGAATTAACGGGGGTTTAGATATCTAGTATTCATTCCTTAACACTCGCGGATATATATCCAGGTATTTAGATCTAATCAGCATCCAACCAGACTTTAGGTCCTACCGGGATCTATACAATTCAACTCTAACCTCCACTTAAGCTTCCTAGACTGATATAATCTCCTAGTCTCGAATTCTTTCCTACATCCTTTTCCAAAGTGCGCCGTGGTCGTATAACCCCCCCCCCCTCTTGACAATCAATACTATTTCTAATTTTCCCATTACACGGCCTATGATGAAAACAATATCTGTGATGACAACAATATCTATGATAGTAGTAATACTTATGATGGTAATAATACCTATAATGGCAGCAATACCAATTGCGCAATGGTAACAGTGATACTCATGATGGTAGCAACACCTATAATGGTAGCAATATTTATACAGCCTCTTCCACCATATAGGATAGGTATTTCTCCAAGTTGTTCACACATGTGGCACAGTGTTTTGATGCGTCATAAGGTAGGTGAATTTTGGCAATGGTAGATAGCTTCTGGAAAATACTTTCAGAGCGCAAGAGCCTCTCCACAGACGGGCCTAAAGACCGGTTTACTACCGGTTCCATGTTCAATAATGGAAGTAATTTTTTGATATCTCACAATTCTCAAACTTTTCTGTTGCTAGCTATTTGATTACTCACATCATGACCAGTCTCACTCCCATGGAGCTCATTTCTTTATTGAAGATCCGGACTATTTGACACCCCTTCCTACTCTATCACACCCAAAAGGGCTGTAGCAATGGAACCAGGGTGGTAGGTACGATGCTTATAAACGGATTTTGTTGTTAGCTAATATGAAAACCCAAATTGACGAGAGCTCGAATCTGTATCGCAGCAAGGCATCAACAGAGCAATGGAGGATGTAGGACCGGGAAGAGAAAGGGAAGAAACGGCATTTCTGGGCCAGAGCTAGTTTGATAGTTGTTAGAACGGCAGGTATTGAAGGCAAAATTACTCTCTAGTTGTTGATACTTTCCATCAATGATAAAAATATTGAAATGACAGTGAAATAGACAAAGTCACGTCGACAAAATTGATGACAAAGGAGCCCAAGTTTCGATAGTGACATCATTCAATCATCACAATGAAAAATGTAGAGAAACGACCATCTTCAGCACATTTGACAGATTTGATGGGAACTTTCACACCTTTTAGCGAATCTTAGTGTTGATCTAGGGGGAAAGTAAAAATCATGAGAACGCCGGCACAAGCTAAGCGAATAAAGTTGTGCTCTCTTGGCTAGATTGACTTTGAGTTAGGGGAGACCAATTACTGAATTGAGTACAGCGCGTCATTGATGAGCTTAATTCATGAATGATTCACACACTATAGAAGATAACGCGAATGATTCACCAAGGATTTACACAACACAGTCGTATAATTTGCTTATTTCAAGAAAGATAGCACATGCACTAAGTGTGTGAATCACACACTATTTACACGATTAATGGAACGTGTACCTCAAGTAGATACACAAGACTTCTTTCGAAGGGTATAAAGTCTCGACTTTGGCCTCCCTATTATCTTCACAAATTTCTCACATACATTCAAAGAACAAAAATCCTTCATCACAACTCTTCCCATTCATTACTATATAGCATAGCTTCTCAACATGTCTTTTTCTTTTGAGGGACTCAAACCAGAGGAATTTCAGATTCTCGAGCAGGAAAAAATAATTGGTGCTTCCATTAACGGGAAGAGAAAAGTTTCTACCGGGCTGTTGAGTAAGTTTTCTTGGAAACATCCTTCATTGATATCTTCCAGCTCCAATGTGACAGCTACTGATATCAAAATCTTTAGGTCCAGAAAACAGCGATGGAAGCACTACATCTTCATTAAGTTCTGGATCCACAGCTTCAATCCGAGTCCTTCACAAAGCTGCAGCAAGCGTTGAAAGTTTCGAACTTCCGGAAAGCCTTGAGTGTCTAGCACTTGTCGAATATCTTGGATACACGAGAACCAAAGCTGCGGAGATTTTCACAAGATGGTCTAATCGTCCAGATCCAGACTCTAATCCATATTCGCTCAAGGAGTAAGTAGTGACGCTTCTTGTCACTCACGCTGCTAGCAGCCATATATTCCGTTTCTCAAAGCGTGTAAAACATTGCTGACCTTTATTCTTTCTAGTCACGCCCTTGTCGAGCTTAGCAATCTCGAGAGAGAGCATCTCAGAGGTTTCCTTGATCGACCGGCAGAGGCAATGAGACGTCTTGGAATTTCAGGAGAAATGGTGAACTGTATGACAGCTCCAGAACATAAAGCTATTTTCGGGACCGAGACACTTGCCGTTTGGTTGGACATCGCCATGCGCTCTAGATATGGAACCGCGATGCGATATCTCGATATTTTGAAGGCTCAAGCCATTCGAACCATTCGCACTAACAAGGGCAAGAAGAGAGGAAAGATTGACGGTGTTTTCCAACCTGGTGGTTCAATTCCTAACACAGATGTCGCTTTAGCTATGAGTTCTGCTTCCATGAGCTTGGAGTCCAAGTTTGCTGGCGAAATGTTCCCGCGTGAGTGTGTAACAATTGTTCAAACTCCCCCGCAGGATCGCCCAGGATTCGTCACTTTGTACAAAGGAAAGAGCACGGGGTTCGACTATCAGAAGACAACGACGCTCGTTAAGGAAAATGGAAATCTCAACATGCAATTCCTAGCATCGTACTCTGGGGGAGATTTCAACGGGCATGATTTAGCATGGTATTGGACGCGGGAGAAGGAAACTGCGGAGCAGTACCGTCAATGGGCAGCAAATTACGATGTCCACGGCGAGACATGGATCATGCAGATACAAGTTCCGGAAACATTCTTGCAGAGCGTCAATATCGAGAGATTGTGGTATGGATATGACTGGAAGCAGTATCTTTGGTACTGCAAGAAGATGACTCGCAATTCTGACATGCCGGAGAACTTGCGCAAGTATACCACCGCCGATGTCATCGAAGGACATATCTGTAAGCGCCATCCTTCCATTGTACCAAAGATTTTGAAACAGGATGTTCAGCAAAAACTCACGGAGGACGATTGCTTGGTGTTTGGCAATGGAAGAAAGCCGACACAGACGGTATTCATGAACTGGGAGGTAGTAGATAGGCTTGAGCCTCTCATTAGAGGAAACATGTACATAGAAGTTCATCTCGCTTCGGCCAAACAAGCATAGATGATGAAGGTGCATAGTGTAAGATAGCAGGTTGAAGCATGGGTTTCTAAAACGTAGTTTATACAAATATTATAGCCTGAAATTTTACTCCTCTGCAGACCGGTAGTGACATGTTGTTGTTTAATATATACATTAATTTAATTCAAACAAAATAAATAGTTCGAACAATAATATTTGAGATCAGTATCATTAATTTTGTCTATCAATTCAATGTTCATTCACCATCCCGAATACTCTGCAGGAAACAATATACAACATCATCAAATATCTCTACTTCGGCCTCACTCCAAAAACTCCAAAGCGACTAACACCATTCTCATTATGGTTGCCAGTGGCCTCGCCCTCCACATCCGGTAGAAGACCCCATCCCATCCTAAACTGTGTCTCTTCTCCAAACGCCTTCACTATATCGTCAAAGCTCAGCAATTCCACATCCTTAGGCAAGAAATCAAGCAGATTCCCACCCGCGACCAGCGCTATCACGCTGGCGATTGTAGTGGGACTGCGATCTGGCAATACATTCGCTTTCGGTAGGGAGACCCAAGCTAAGATAAGCAAGAGCAGTGATACCAGCAGCAACGCCTCAATGATCCGCGTTGAAGCCGCATCTTGCACTACGCGCTGGCGACCCGCGGGTTCTGTGGCCGTGGCATTAAACGTGCGTGCGTCGCTTCCATCATGAAGATCGAGCGGTGCATGAGCGAGAGTGGCGTTTGTACTATTTGCCAAAACACGATTTGTATTCAATACTTGCGCGACGACGATGCCAGTTTGGAAACGAAGAGCGTCGGCGACAATCTGGTTTTTGCTGGGGTCTCCGAGATCGGAAACAGGGATGGCCCAACGAGAGGTGACGAGGAGGGAGAAAACGTTGCTTAATAGTTGGGGGGTGTTTTCCGTGGCGACGTCGCCGTACCATGATGCTACGTCAAGATAGCCATTTTTTACCGTTGAACTACTGGCAGTGTCCTCGCGGGGATGAGGGGGGTTCTCGCTGCCGATTGTTAGATTGGTGCCGATGAATGTGGTGTCGACGTCTACGGTCTCGAACGATTGATTGCATCCCATGGCTGCTATGTGGGATACTTGTGGATTGGCAGAATAATCGAGACTACCCCAAATGAACAAGAAATTGCTACAAGCGCTATAAAACGAGCCAGAATAGGAGCCCGTCTGTCCGAAGTACGAAGCATTGGAAGATGTGCCGAAGAATGTGTTGTATTTGTAAGCTTCATCGTCAGGCTGCAGTCGACATTCTTCGCCTTTGACGTTGACCCCAAGAGGGTTTGACAAATTAGCCGAGTGGTTTTTGTACATGTAATCTATCGTCAGATTGGTTGTGATGCTACTCGCATCGTACATGTGACAATCTAGCTTTCCTCGTACCGCCGGTACGACAGTCTTGATCAATAGACTCGAAGAATTTGAATCAACATTCAGCAGTGTTGGCATTGTAGGTATTAACTGGGGAAACGCGAGATTTTCATAGGTAAATGCAGGATATGACTGGTTAGTTTCTAGTATCAATGAAGCCCGCTCATCGCCATCAATTGTGAGGGTCGATATCGATTGATCGAAAGAGTTGTTGGCCCTGAGTACAATCAAATCGATCGCAGAAAGAGACACTGATTGGAACAGCGATGCAGAGAATATGGTGAAAAAGGACGCCACCAACAGCATTGTTGTGGTTGCGAATGCCCCAATGTTCCGTATCTTGACTTCTTTGTAAATGGCACGTGGAACAGAAACGTCGAGAAAATCAAGGGTGACCATAAAATGCGTGGGAACAAATTTCTGGAGCATAGTATAAGGTACCAAAGACCTCACGGTAGAATCCATTGAGGAAATGGTCGTGGCTAGTATTCCGAAGATAAGGCCCGGAATGGAAGTCCATAGATAGTGGATATATGCTCCATTGACAACATCACCGAGACCATCATTCTTAGCAGACTTGTGCAAAACTAGTTCTAGCGTAATAATCAAACCTACCAATGCTAGACACAGCACTAGACGCGACACAGGATGAAGTGTTCCGGGATGAGAATGCTTGGACATGCTCTGGGTGAAGCTCAGCATATCATCATTTCTTTCCATGCGACTGGTATCCGCGATGGTGAATCGCTGGTGCTGATTAGAACAGACTACTAACTCTGCGCCAGAACGGAAGATTGAGGCTTCGAATAATTGGCACAGTGTCTTTTCGTCGGCGTCTCCAAAATCCCGAAGCCTCTTTAATAGATCTGGACTATGGGCGACTAGTGCGGCCATGGTAATTATAGTGGTTGGGCTATGAGGCAGAATTCCATGTTTTGGGATGGTGAAGATTGCTATGAAGGTGAGGACTAAAATATGGAAGAGTCAATGCTTAATATCATGTTGGGAAACGGAAAGAAAATAAGGTAATGAAAGAGCAGATTATGCAACTTGAAAGCAAAATGTTGAGCCTAGGATGGTAGATGAATGTACTTACTTAGACAGACTGCGAAAAGCCCAGCCATCCATTGTACTGCCCAATTCTGTACGATAAGACGGTTTTCATTAATAATAGCAGAGCCAACCACCGGTATTGAAGCAGCACCCATAAGACCTTGGTGAGCAACAACAGCGCCAAATGCGCGGTAGTAGCCTGTAGCAATATCCCGGACGTAACTCTGATCATCAAGCATCGATACCGCGGTCCCGGAAGTAACCTGACTTCTCAACAGCATGCTCATCCACTCATCCACATCTATGGAGACATTGCCCATGGGAAAATATGGCGGCTTTGAATTAGGTCCCTGCTCCTGCGAGATTATTACTCCATTTTCCTCGTAAGAATCAAAGTGCGCTTGCATGATACTCCATGGAGAGACGTGTTCGAGACTCCGACTAGATGCTGAGGGGGGCAGAGTCACGTTTTGAGTATTGGTGCCGATTTGAACTACGTCGACTTTTGTGATTTGGTAAGTGGGCGAACAAAGTAGTTGCGTAGATTTCAACAAATCTGTCATCTCTGTCCCGTTATCCTGAGTTATGTACTGGAAATGCCCGAACATCACCAAGATACGTTTCCCCGCATCGTCAGTTGTGCCATTGCATTGCCCCTGGGGAAGCCGTCCAAATATACTTGGATTATAAGAGCCTCTATCGGGTTGAAGGACATCGTTGTTAAATGTTATATTGCAGCCAGAAGTCGTGACATCGAGTTCCATGTAATTTTGGCACTCTCCATCTTCACACGTTCCCTTTGCATGTTGTAGAAAGGCCAAGCTCACATCGACAGGCTCGCAGTCCAGAGAGTTTGTGAATCCGTCAACGGTGAATTTAACTTGTGCTGTGTTGGAGAGATTGTTTTGTACCTGCTGAAATGCAAAACCTTTGGATATTCCATCAGGATAGGTCATATTTCCGGCTGCTACACCCTCCATAAAGTAGTATGGAAGCGTACCTATCGATGCGAGAGATGTATTATCGTCGACGAATTTGTTTTGGATCACCATTGGAACGGAGTGCTCGGTGACTCGGGTCGGCGTGAGAGTGATCAGACCGGTGGATAATACGATTAGGAGTTTGATGAGGAGTGAGACGGTGGTTGTAGCAGAAACGGTGAAGTCCTTATTCTTAAGAGATGTATAAACCGTAAGTGGTTGGAATTGGGATACATAATCTAGCAACAAGGTATGTGAAGCTGGGCCAGACTGTTTTGACATGCGTTCCCATGGAGCCATTAATTTGCTTTGATACTCAACTCGGCTAAATATTGCCGCGACAATAGTGAGGAAAGCTGTCGGTCCGTACGTCCAAAGATAGTGTTCGTTGTAGGAAGCAGATGAGATGCCATCGTTCTTGGTTGAAACAGCAAGAAGTGTTTCAAGTGCAATGAGGACCATAGCAAAAACCACGCAGCATCCGGCGAGGACTCGACGACGTAGGTAAGAGGGTCTCCATTTCATGCTTTCAGTAGCAGGTGTGATTTCGTCTATCCCAGTGGCTGGGACTTCTGAATTCTTGCCCACTTGAACTGATTCATATTCATGTCTCGCCATATTGGAAACTCGAAACGAGGCTGGAGTGGGTATAACTTCGACTTTAGCTAATCATCACAGAAAAACGAGGGAAATCTCGAATTTTGAAGTGTACAGGCCGGCCATTATATGCATATCAAGCCATGTCACTTACATATGTATATGAGTCCCATTCAAACCACTTGGATTGAAGAGGCAGTACATATATACAACTCACGGATCAAGAAGCCTGACCTAGACCTAGATAGGTGAATGGATACATTTGAGCTAATAAAGCAGACCCACTTAAACACCATGGTTTGCCCGTATAGCCCTGGCGACTATCACAGTCTACACACTGGAAAGCCTATGATATCAATGCTGACACACAAGGTTAGTATTCCCATTGCTAAGTCTGGATCAGCGGCTCCGCCCAGCCCCCACTCTTTCCTTACTTTCGTTTTAATAGTGGCATACTTGTGACGCAACTTACAGCCCTTATATACACTTTGTATCTATTTTGAATAGTATCTGTATATTCAAAATGAGCGATCCGAGTACTGAGGCTTTATTCAATGCCTCTATAATCCCAAATACATACCCAACAATCGCCCTGGGTACACCCACCCAAACCAATCAACCATCCTCTCCAATTCAAACTCATATGGATATCTCCAGTCCCATCCGACAAACCACTCAGTCCCTAAATGCAGCATTCAGAGCAGGTGACTTGAATTCTCTCGACGACCCATTTGCTACACAATTGTCAAATGCAGAATTTTCTGCCAAGTCTCACCGCCCGTTCCTCCAAGATAGGAAGCGAGGCCCCTCCACTACCGCGAACAATCACTGCGTCCACCTTAACTAAATCACATGATGAACAAACCAACTCCAACTCTCAACATCCTTAACAATCAGAAATCAAATCCATCTTCGCAGATCATCCAGAAAATCAAGGTCAATATGGCACAAAATAGCGTCAATGCAGAAATTCGTGCTGTCGGATATTTGAAAATCGGTTCTCCGACGCATTCTATACTATGGGTTGGAGATTTGATTCGGCGAGTGTTCAGATATTTATGAGAGTACGAGACAATGGCTCAAAGTTTTGAGCATGAAGAATGAAATACTACAGTATATTCTTGAATGGTCGAGCAAGTTTTCGTCTCGCGATCGAAGTCGCAAGCGCACTTATAATCAGCTCTATTTTTTTTACAGTCCACATAGAATACCCCGTGTAATGCTTCGGCACTATGGGCAGATGCAGGCACTGGAAGCTCCTCAATTCTACCAAATGTTCAAGATCGAGATGATTTAACCTTGTCGACTGTATGGTGTCCTAGAGCGTCAATTACTTTCGCCCCCTCATTCCTTCAGGTTTCGTGTGATCGCACAACTTGAGGCGCATGCCCTTGTATAACGCAGCTTACTGTATGAGTTATAGCCCTTGTGATATGCAAATAAGAAATACGACTTCGTCGATGAGGCACGGTGAACGTTTCTATACACCAGAATTTCCCAGTCGTATCATAATTCCAATTCCATCCCTCTTTGGAAGCTATTTCTCACCATGAAAATGAGCAATCTCTCAACCATTTTTTCTTGGCCTTTCTGTCGCCTCAAACTCATTTCTACACTAATTGAAAATCGGAATCAACAAGCTGAGAGACCAAAGCAAGCGATTCGATCCGGAAGATGGAAAGCATTGTGTGGTGCGGGCATACATATACTACCGATCATATTCACCACAGTTTTATTGTTCTTGAATTCTTCTACTGTCTATGCGACTTCGATGGGCGTGGGCACTGCAAATGTAAACGCTCGGCTCAATGGGCTACAATTCGCGGCCAAAATACATGAGATACTCATCGGTGCTTCCTTATCATCTATGGTTCTATCTCTTGTTCAACACAGAATCTTTCAGGCTGGAGTACCAATTGGTAGTCTCTTCATTGCATTCAGAATCACCGATCTTACATCACTCTCAAGTCCCGAATTCTGGGCTGCTTTGACTGCTGAAAAAAGCCTCGAAGGACGTACGTCCCTTGAGTTTCTGTGTCTTTTGACAGTATTTTCAACCATACTGGCCGCTGTGAGTGGTCCTGCGTCTGCAATCTTGATGTTACCATCTCTAGATTGGTGGAACTTTCCCTTTTCAAAAGATTCTTTTCCACCAGGTAGGGACTTCCGACCGTGGCTTCCGAATGAATCGAGTTATCTAACAGGTACATTCCGAGCGGAAACTAACTTTATTGAACTATGGCCAAATCTTATTGATCGCTCATATTCCTATCCTTCGATTTGTGGGTTCAGCAATAGGTTATTTATTACCGAGGAATGTCCAGCTGGTGGTCACTCTGTTATTCAAACGTGGGCTCTCACACAAAAACCTTCTTTCGTCGGTGATTCATGGAACATTACAATGCCGATAACACTTTCGGATAGCGCCTATGATTCCGTGGGACTCTCCGTGACTACAATATACAGCAATCGTTTTATTGAGGGCACAGGGCTCAATTATAATACCAGCGATCATTATGGTTCTAAATACACGTCAAATTGGAACCAGGAAGCATGGTACATGGGTCAGACGAGTTCTGTACTCGCTACTGATGCTCTTTTAAGCATTGCTGGGATACACACTACTTCCGAAAATGAAACTACCAGATTGCAAGCATTGGTCAATGATAGGAATCCCCCAGCCCCCCAAGCATTTGCTGCTTGTTCAGATTTTAACTACAATATATCAAATGATAACGGGGCGGGATTTGATTCTCTTGAAGGTTCTCAATTGCCATTCCTCGAAAAAGACCCAAGCAATGGTCAATACTGGTATGCAGAATCTAAACAGGCTTTTGAATCATGGAAATCTTCTGGTGGCTGGCCATTGGCACTATGGATAGCACCAACAAATCAAAGTATAAATTCTCCTTCGATAGGGGTGGTGATATTAAAAAATGTTTCAAACCCTGATGGGAATATGTTGAGAATTGAAACGTGCTCTATCTATGCTGGCTGGCGGTCTTCTGAGCTTTTTATCGATCCCAAAACAGACCAATACATCCATTCTCCAGATCTTACGGATCCTACCAAAGACATGGAAGACTGGGCTAGCGCAATCAACGAATCGAGAGATTACCCTATGCGAAATGTCCAGATAGACATTGATTGGGCAAATTTGGCTTTGCCCCCAAACTACACAATACTATCCATTGCGCTATCATCCACTGGATCTCAAGCAATACCATTGGGTTTAATAGTCAGCAGTCTCATACCGGATGCTATGTCAAGAATCCGTCGGTCCGGCGAGATTTCGATACCATTGATCGGATCTGAGGCATCGGAGCAAACTCGTGATCAAGACAAATACACATACATCACCGTCAACCGATTTCGATATGGCTACAGCTACTCTCTTCGAGGAATCACTAGATGGCTTGCTTTATCCATTCTCCTCTTACATATCTTTCTCGCATTGGCGCATACGGTGATTATCACACGCATGGGATGGACTAGTAAAATACTGAAATCTCTATGCGAAATTCTTGTTCTTGCCATCAACTCGTCGCCATCTATGGTACTGGACAATACATGTGCAGGTATTGACCGGCTAGATACATACAAGCAAATAGTAAAAGTTAGGGAAACCTCATTCGAGCACTTAGGGTTGGTGATGAATGGAGATGAGGATAAGCATACCGAGAAGGTAGTGATAGACAAGGAGTATGGAAGTCTAGACAAGAAGGAATTAATGAGTATATAATCACCCGGTATAGCTGATTCACTCGCAAGTTCGCCTCTGGTCCGAATAAACACAACTCATACATGAACCATCACACTCCTCTCTCATAAACAACAACTATCTGTAAATATCCATCATTCCACAACTCAATACGCATTAACAGCAATAGCGAAACTACATCACGGATTAAGTCCCTACGATAGCATATCATATCACATCACACCAACTTCCCACCCCCATTCAGTATTTCCTCATCATAGCATGCAAAGTTACAAACACTACAATACATGATCCACGCCATCTCACACCCGAGATAATCCTCGCCACCCATGATTCCATCATGAACCAGGACACCAACCAACCAGTATGGACGAAAATGGATCGCACCGACTACCCATCCATATCCATATCCATACACACACCTCCGCCACCCCGCTCTACTCCCCACACAAGCTCTCCCATTTCACCTGTCCAGTCCAGTCCAAGTCCAAGTCCCTCTCCCTCTCCCTCTCCCTCTCCCTCTCCCTCTCCCTCTCCCTCTCCCTCTCCCTCTCCCTCTCCCTCTCCCTCTCCCTCTCCCTCTCCCTCTCCCTCTCCTCTCCTCTTCATCCCCGTCCTCCCCTCCCCTTCCATCCTACTCACCCACACACCCAATAAGTCTATTTATTATCGAACCTTTTGATATTAATATCCCACTCTATTTCCATGGCTTTATATACCAATCTATCAACCATCTACCCACCACCCACGCAAAGCATGCAACAAAAACCAGAACGAAAACTATTACATACAAACCCCACCCCCAATCCCTCAATGAAAAGCACGCAACAAATCAAAGATCAAACGACAAAAGAATAAACAGATAAACAAATAAACAAATATACGCATCCACATCCACATACATGAACGAACAAACAAACAAACCTTCGCGAGAGCCACATACAATACCCGCTCACAAAACAGAGCGTGCAGAATCAATCATCTGCAGAGGGGTCGGCCCGATCAATGAATGCACCACACATAGCGATGGCTGAACTATATGTATCGATGATATTATGTTACTGCTGTGGAACACTGCATGTATGGGCACATAGAGAATAAAGAATAAAGATCATAACAGAAGAGCGATTAAATACCTTCATTATAGATTCACATTACAAGTCGAAGATCTAATATCACATTTCAAAGAAGGGGAAAAAAGGAAAAGTACATCACAAAGGAACAACGGTAATTGAAAAGTGCTCCTCATTTATTCGGCCAGTGACTGAAATCTTAGTAAAGAGGAAATGCATGGTTGTAGAATCAAGGCCTTCAGCTGAGCCGCATAACACAATAAAGTTTTCTGCCCTCCCCCTTCCGCTCATGTCCTTACATGCTGTACATGTCCACTACTTTCGATCAGTCCATGGATTTGAATTGTAACGCACATGGAGCACATCCCCAACCCAGCCACATCTAACCATCAACTCTGCCCAGCTCAAATCAACATCTTATTATCCTACTCGTAGTGCAATGAACCCATTGAATGTTGAGAGATATCAGGAAGTCAATCGGAGAGGAAGGAGAAGAGAAAGTCGTATGAAATAAAGGAAATACATTCTTGCAAAGTCCATCCCAAATTTACCATTTGTTCCTAAGATTACATGCATGCATGGAGATGACCAAGCAGTTGCTCGTGTACTGTATGTGTAGTAAACGATAGTTTTGAAAACTCGCCCCCCCAACCCTTGCTAGCTGTTTTGTTTTTGGATACCACAATCTTCACAATGTGTTGCCAACCTATCGAGAAAAGAAAAAGAAAAGGCTGCCGTCAAAAGACTTGCAAAAGATTGCAAGAACCCATCCATCCATTCTTTAATGCATTTGGTATTGATTGCGAAGTAACATCAATGCTTCTGAGACGCCGGAGAAAGTAGATTCGTTGAAAAGGAATTGTGTGAAGATGCGTTGAATTATTTGGGGGCAGGTACAAGAGGTGCTGGAGTAGTCCATGTGCGTGTAGCAAGCTCACACAATCTTCGGATGACATTTGTGGTGCCGGAACCACTTGCTTCATCCTGAACAAACTTCTTTGCCACAAGAAGCTTACTGCGGTTGTCACTTTCATCGAAATGGAGTGGAGTGTCGCTAGGTGTATACTCAGAAACACGTTGTCCCATGGCTCGAATAATGGCAATTGAGTACAAGACATCGCGATTCTCTCGGCCATCCAAGAGATTCCTTAGGGTACCAAGAGTTTCATCAACGTCCTTGACACAATTGGGATCATCTTCTCGAAGACAGACAAAGTTTGCCAAAGTGTACCAGAATTCCAATTCCCTCAATCTGTGGTGATCTCCACTTCCTTGGACAGGAGCAGTGAGCTGGTTACTTTCAGCGACTTTGCCCGTCAAAAGACATTCAAAGACTGTCAATCGATGATCCGCCTCGATTGGATCGTCCTGGGCAGGGAGCGCGCTCTTTGTTTCAACCTTGGCCTCCTTCGCATCCTCTGCACCAAGCTTAACCATACAGGCCAAAGCCCAGACAACCTTTGCCTCAACACTGGCGGTGTGTGCGATTGCGATAGGATCAGACACAATGGTTTTTGAGAATTGGAGGAGTAGTGTTCCAAACTTTTCGAGTAGTGGCTTGTCGCTCATGAGTTTGGCAGCACCTTTGGCACTAAACCATTTTGATTCGAGAAAACTCTCTAGACCAGGAGAATAGATACTGTAGTAGAGATGCTTTGCTTCTTCGAGTGATTGTGGATTCTGCGAAACATCTTGCACGGGTTGATCAGCGGGTGCGGGGGGGTTGCCATACGTTAGCAAATCATCGATAGATCGTTGGGCTGGAAGAAAAGTCGTGTCAGCTGCTTCGTCTGCAAAAGATGCAACTGGAGGGGGGAAGGGGGAACCAGTACCACCTCTGAGGTGGGTAGCATCGGATACTTGGAAGGGGTACGGAGTTGCACTTGGCATGATTTTTTGGTGAAGTCGGAAGGTGGGCATACCTGGAGGAGCATTGTGAAACGTGCTGACAATCGGGATTGGAGCAGCAGCTTCCAAATTTGGATCGATTGCAGATGAATAGTCATAATGTTGACCAGCACTGGGTGCGGTCAGAGCAGGATCATATGCCATTGAAGCTGGAACACCGTAACCACTCTGGAGCATCTGCGGTTGGTTTCCGTAGGGATTTGCGGTCGCGATCGATGAAGATTGCGAAGGTGCAGAGCTAGGTGCTGGTTGTATGGCAGCAGGACCTGGTTGTTGTTTGAAGATGGGATCGTAACCTAAACATTCACGTTTTGATTTTTGACAGTTTCGGCAGGCAGGATGTTGTTCGTCGCACTGATGAAATGGGTTAGCAGAATTTTCAAATAGATAGTGAAGACGATGATGATCGCGACAGCGAGTGAATTTATTGATCTGCCATCGAAAACAAAATGGAAAATTGATAATCTCGCTCTACTCGTGGGTCTGGGTATCAAGGTCGCTCGTCTCGCTCGCTCATGTGCCTTCGCCTACTTAGGTGATTCGCTTGCATATAGACGAAAAGATTCCCATCGCGAAGAAGCTCAACCTCAACTTCAATTCATTCTTTCGATAATGCGACGAAATTAAAACATCGAGAACTGACCTTAATTCTTCTCTTTCTGCACGTCAAACAACCCGTCTTGGTCCTACGCTTGATCTCCTGATGGAAAAATAATATGTTAGCACGATGCGATGCCCCAAATGACGCGATGACACGATAATAACGATGATTTACGAATCCTACATACCTTTTTGTGTCGACCTCCGCTCATGACTCGAGAATCTACTGGAAGCGCGTATCGCATATTTGGATCAGATGTAACATTTGGATATTGGTGCTGATGAGATGGATGAGGGAGTTGATTTTGGTAGTACGGGCCGCCCATTTGCGCAACTGGTGGAGGTAAAGGTGATCCCATGTGCTGATGTTGTGCGGCTTGCTGCTGTTGTTGCTGCTGCTGAAGAGGATCTAAGGAACGCATACTTGGAAGAGAAAGGGAACCGTTGCTTCCGGTCGGACTCGCACGATACGGCTCGTTTTGGTTACCTGGTGGCGGATAATTATATTGTGAAGTTGACAAAGAAGGCGACGGGTAGGAAGTTGGACTTGGGTAATTAACTGGTTGTCGTTGAGAACCTTGTTGAGAGCCCGACATTGATGGAGAAGAAGGCGCCGAACCGTTTTGTTGCAGATGATTTAAGTGCGGACTATTCCTATTATTGTGTTGCTGTGCCATATTAAGATTGATTATGACACGGTCGCGCTGCGTTGATTATTTTGATGTTCTTTTTTTTTTGAAACCTTATCTAACCACCGCCTTTAAATGAACAGGAAATTTTTAAGTGAATAGAAATTACTCAAGTCCTTTGAATTAAATCGATCTAGAATTATTTGATTCGATAAATTCCCTCGGCTTGCTGTACTTAGGAGTTCGTAGCGAAACTCGTTTACGGGACGAAAGCGAGCTGTAGCGGTAAGTAGGCAGGTAGGTATGGAAACGAGTTTTAATCTTTCGAAGAGATATGAAGTGTTGAGAGGTAAAGTACGAGTAAAGAGTTTAGAAAGAGGTGGTCAGGTTTTGTTGTGGAGAAAAGGAATCGGAAATGGATTCTGAAAGGGAGCCAGAGAGGCAGAATTAATTTTGGAATGATCTGATTTGGTAGATTTGATGTGTACCTGGGAAGGAAGGCTGGTGTGGTATGGTATGGTATGGTGTGTAGAGTAAGTATTGTATTGTATTGTATTGTATGGTATGGTGGGTTGGAAGATACAATGAAATTCTTTGGGAGGGGTTTATGGAAAAGTTTGGGTTAGAGAGAGTCGAGAGAGTTTGAGGTAAAAGGTTAAATGGTAAGTGGTAAGTGGTAAGTGGTAAGGTAGTGTAGGGTAGTCTCAAGGTAGAGAATATGTCATGTCATGTAGAGTGTAAAATGTAAAATGTAAGGTAATGTAAAGTAAGGTAAAGTAAAGTAAAGTAAAGTAAAGTAAAGTAAAAAGGTAGATCGGTCGGAATCAGAAGTTGCGGCTGCAAGCTGGTTTTCTAAAGCTTTTTGGATTGAAGGAAACCTTGGAGTAAATTTAATCATTTAATCATTTTATCATTTTATCATTTTATCAGCCTGAATTTCAAGGTATCTAATCCAGTTCAATTCAGTTCAATTATGAATTCACTCCGTCATTCGAATTTCTCTCTCTCTCAACCTTTTTTATTCAATCTAGACAATCTAGCTTGAGCCTAGTACATACCTAGTACTTATATGATTGAACAGATAGATACTAATAAGGATTTCTTCATTTCGTCAATTCTTCACTGATTGAAGATTACTTACATTATTACATACATACCTAATCGACAGTTAAATGTTATAAAATTGTTGATTATCTGATTATCCATCAAGTTGAAGCTAGCAATCGTTATGGAATTATTACAACTGCTTACATAGGTAGGTACTGGCTGGTACTATTAAGAACTTAGGTATGGCTCAATAGTCTCTCCAAAACCATCCATCTTTCTCCTGATACTTGATACTTGACATAGTATCTAACTTAACTACCTACCTAGGTAATAAGAACAACTTAGAACAACTTTGAACAACTGTACTTGAGTTAGCTATTGATTGAGTGGTAGATATTAAATTTGATAAATCCCACAACTGACTCGAAACGGATAATGAATTTGAATCTATCCATCTCCTTTTCCTAATTCGACCACCCAAGGTCCATTTCTCCTTTTCAATTTTTATTCGTAAAACTCGATCCAACAATACCTTTTCAAAAACCTCAATCTGCTATCATATCATCAGTTCTGACGCATCTTACTTTTCCTTACTTCATGACTGTACTACTTTACGTAGGTAGCTCGCCTTTTTCCCCTTCATGCACGACACAACACTTACGGAACCCTTGTCGAAAAGAATAGCCACTTGAATGTTCCCTTCAACTCGGATGATTACCGTTTAATTCATCCAGCTGCGGTACGGCTTGACTAAAAACAAGCGATGGAAGAATTATAGAATTTTCGATGCATGTCAAGACCTTTGCGAGCTTCGCTACGAACCGACGGGGAGCGAGAAGAGAGTACTGTAGCACGCGCGAAGACGATGATCGTTTCTCTAATCTCTCTCGTGCTGACTAGGTAGAGCGTTCCCAAATGGGCAATACATCCTTTTCAACTTATGAGATATGCTTGCCCTCGTAAGCACTCTTATTACTCTGTCTCTCACATGCCTTTTGGAATACATACTGAGAGTAGAATGAAGATGTCGACCTTAATTTACCGATTACACATTCTTCTGAATCTTTTCCTATGACCTTATTTAGGACCGACATATCTTCAGAAATTATGCATGTCAGAATGCTTGCTGAGCTAATAATGAAGGATTCCCATTCTATTTGCAAAGGAAGAATACCCCTGGTCTATTCCTAGACATAGCTAATTGGATAGCCTGAATACATAAGCCACTGCAACGTCGAAACAAACTACCTTGGAAGTTGGACCGGCTGAGAAGCGCATAAAGGAAAGGATAATATGTACAGGATGATATTCTCTCGTTACCACTTGCAGTCTTTCGACCTCCTCCGTACAGGACCAAGCTTGACGCGACCCGTTTTTCAATTTCGTCTCCGCATTATCCTCCTCCCATCCCAACTCTAATCTTAGACCCTCGTACCCGGCATTTGAGCAAAAAAAGGAGGTTTAGCGCACAACAAGCGTACAATCAATGCATGCCATCTCCCGCAACCCCTCAGCCTCGTGGTTCACTAAAACGCAGGATGAAAAAATTACATTCGTGATCTAAGGATTGTGTATGAGATCTTCACTTCTCTTCTCAACAGTGACATCCTATCTCGGAGCCAAGCTTTTTGTTATCTACCCAAAGAAGAACTCGGAAAAGTATTCACATGAACAAGGTGTATGTATACAAGGATCCTCTGACAATCTGTTTCAGCAAATATTCGAAACGGTTATATGGGTACCTGCACCTGCACCTGCCTTAACTACATCGAAGCGTGATGGTTTTCATGCTAGCTTGCTTGCTCGCTTGCTTGCCTGCGTGAATTGCTTGCTTCGCTTCTACCTTTCTTTTAACCGGGTACGACCGAGGATGCATCCATGGTTCATTGGGAGAAGAAAGGCTGAAATGAAGAAATGTCTCGTGAAAGTTTGATTCTGCGGTCGGTGATGCGGATAAGATGGTAGGATGAATACATCCATCACATACTTTTCACTACCATATCTCAATCATGCTCTGCAAATCAAATACCCAATGGATAGAAAGATGGCGCGAAAAACCATGCCAATCCGTCCGAATATGGCACTCTACTCTATTTTCGGAAGCATGGCGAAAGAATGCGACGCAGTACGAAAAGCGTCACAATCATGCTGTACCCATGTATCTACGTATCCAAGTATACCATACAAACCCCCCAGCGCGAGGAAAACATGGGACGGCGTACCAAAGCCATCAAAAACCCATGCCGTACTTCTCCTGCACATCTTCTCCATCATCCACAAACAGGACGTAGGTACATACCTATACACACTTCAGCAATCTCTCCTTCTAGAACCCTTCTACGCATCGCTAGGATGTCTGCATCAATCTCGTGCGATGATCTCCCCTGCTCGCGTTACACCTATCCATAAAATGATCTGTATCGACGTATATCCTATCCAACATATGCACCGATATCGCGTGCGTGGTCGCATAGAGGAGGTACCTATGTATCACGCAAGTATCTCATCACCGGTAAACAGTATGCCATGATACGATACCAAGTACCATCCACCCATCATTTTGTTCCTCTGGCACAAAAACGTTGTTCATTTTATTTTCTTTCGGGCTCTGGTTGAGATGAACATGCTTCTCGGGGAGACAGGCAATCTTGTGTTTGTGTATTTTGTGCTACATAACATAGCAAGGCTAGGTAGGTAGGTATCTAGGTACCTCCGAACAATAACGCCGACCCAAACCGAGATACTGTGGAAAGAAAGAAAGAAAGATGCATTTACCTATCCCATCTACACTTTACAACCAATTGAAAAATGTGACAAACGAAACTTACTTCGGACAGCTGGGTCAAGAACCAGTCACAGTCAATCGAGCTACTCCAGGGCTTCCAACTATTGAATTCTTGGTGCCCGAAGAGCAAGAAAGGCCGAAAGAGATACGAGTACTGGTAGACAGTTATTGTACGTATGTACATACATACAAAATAAAAGAGACTGTATTGTAATTGCAAGTAACATATTGTGCTTTCTTGACATGTTAACCACGTATAGAACAGACGAGCAAAATGAGCTGGAAGCCGGGAGGCGGGCCGCGCTTCCAGAAGCTGATTTGGCCCAATCCGGCGCGGTGTGACCTGATGGGGATCGGATTGTTATGTGTTGTATGTAGGTACGTATTTTGTATCTTTCATGGTACTTCAGATGGGTATTGTACAATTAGGATTATGATGTGATATGAGGAGCTAGGGTATGATATAATATGATATGATGTGATTATGATACGTGTGCAAGTATATTCCATTTTGTGTGCACTCACTCATCCGTAAGCACCCTGGTCCAATCGAATTTCTTCCAACGATTTCTGAAGCCGTCCAATCTTTTATCCCCTCCTCGACTCCACCGGCCTTGTCGTTTGATAACATCAGGCTCAATATCCAACATGCCGCCGATGATTTCTCTCGCGAAGAGATCCCCCCTGGGCCATCGATTGGCGTCTTCAACTATATGTCCCAAGCCACCATCTAGGTCAAACCACGCATGAAAATAGGGCATCTCCTTAGCGATCGATCGGCGGAAGGCTAGTTTTCCAAGGCCATCTCGTGCGCGTGCTGCAGTGTCGATGAGCTTCTTATGTTGTGTCCACTCTTCATCCGAGGACAGGATGGCTTCTTTGAAAAAGGCTGGCGCGGTTTCTCCTAGGCTATAGGGCAGTGGTACTGCTTGCATGGCTGCGTGCATCTTTCGGTGTGGTGTTGCGGCATTTTCGTAAAATACTACATCTCGTCCTTGATCATGATACATGCGCGTTAGACATTTCATGAAGTTTCTAATTTCCTCCCACTCATCGTCGTCGCATTCAAGAAGGTTTGTCCGGTGCTGAATGGGTACAATGACGGCTCCACCATCACTCAGTTCCGGCTCTGTCGGGAGTGTTAAATAGACTCGTGTACCAAGAGATACGAGTGGCGCAACAGGGGGTTGATTTTTGTCTTCATGATGACACAATTGGCAGGAGTCCAGAATGCGATTCATCTTTTGAAAATCTCCTATGGCTGTATTCCTCAAGTTAATTTCAGACTTTTGGACGCGCTTCGCAAGCTTGTTTGCATTATCGTCCATGTAGTCGAGGTCATTATCGAATTTAGCATCTTTCGCGATGCGTTCAGCGGCTCGCATACCATCACCGCCGGCTTGTCCTTTGGTCCGTCGTTCCTCACGCACCATATCTTCAATAGTCATATCTTCATTCTCTTCCACCAAACCTCTCTCGCGGCCCCTCTTATTGTCGATCGACTTCACTTCTCCACGAGTTCCCGCCAACATTCTGCTGTCCATCTTTCCCAATACTACCATACCGGGTTCTGAAGTAGTTGCTAATCCGGCGGAAGCTGCAGCATTGTATTCAGCCTCAAGTCTCGCAGCGTCAGGCGATTTCTTGAGCTTGGCTTTCATCATTTGAGCCTTCAATCGATTCAGGGCCGTGGCATCGAGCTGAACAGGGGGTGCATTTGTTTCTTCCATAATCTCCCCTTGCGGTAGATTTGCTGGCTCATCATGGTGTGGTATCGAACCTCTTCTGATGCCTAGATCTAATTTTCTCTCTTGAAACAACTCTCCGCTGGGCTTCTCTTTCCCAACATAGCCTTCCCCATATAGTCTTCGGCGGTCAAGCTCAATTTGTTCTTCTCGCGCATCATCGAACTCCCGTAGACCTCCAAATCGCGCAATAGCTATCTCATCGATGGGCTTTCCACTCTGTTCCGCCTGTGTATATACTGCCTTCAACTTCGTCATGCGCCATCGAGCTCCTGAATCTCCAAATGTATAATCGACGTCATGTCCAGCTTCGATATCGTCCAACTTTTTGACTCCTTCATTTAGATCTTGTAAATGCTGATTGAGTTCATTTTTATGAACCTTCAAATCGTAATCAGGTCTGGGTGCGACTTTTGGCTCTGTAGGCTTTTTAGATCCTTTTTGTGTATAATCGAACTCGAAAGCTGTCGGATCCGTCATCCAAGAATCGCGAGTAGCTTTTGGTTCAACTTCTGCTTCCTCCTCATCTGGAATTGGTAAATCTTCCTTGGGATCTGATGATTTTTCGTGCTTGCGCTTCCTTCTGTCCTCATCTTCTTCCTCGTGTCTAGAATGTCTCGATCGCTTATGTCGGTGGTCGTCTCTATCTTCATCGTCGTCCTCTCTGGACCTGTGGTGCCGTGATCTATGATGATGTCGATGCTTCCGATCCTTATCTTTGCGCGAGCTTCTTTCACTTTTTTCCCTCTCTAACTTTTCCGCTGCTAAGCTTTTCTCAAACTCGTCCAAGCCGTCCATTGTTGTAAAGTTTATTGATACAATGAAATTTGATGTTTTTAATGATGGTTGCCCAATACCTACCGGTAGCGAGAAGCATTACGGGAGCGCTACTTTAGCTAGGTACGAAATTTATTTGAAGGACCATGCATCCCACTTCGCACCCCGCCAAATTCCTCTACTTACACCTCACAAACACAAGCCGATTTTTCTCTTTGACAAACGAATAAAACATCTACGATATGGCGGATTCTAAGAAACCAGAGGCTTCTAAGCCTGTTTCTATTGTGTGTGTAGGCATGGCCGGTGAGTTTATGTTTATTTGTATTTAATGAATGCGCCCGCTAATTCTCCTCCGACAGGTTCTGGTAAAACTACCTTTATGCAACGAATAAATTCTCATCTACACGGCAAGAAAGAGCCTCCGTATGTCCTCAACCTGGATCCTGCTGTGCGAAATGTTCCATTCGAGAGTAATATCGATATCCGCGACTCTGTCAACTATCAAGAAGTGATGAAAAGTTACAACCTTGGACCAAACGGAGGAATTCTCACATCGCTCAACCTCTTTGCCACAAAGATTGATCAAATATTGACCGTTCTCGAAAAGCGCACTATTCCCGATCCCGAGAAGCCAGATGCGACTCCCATCAAACATATTTTGGTCGATACGCCAGGTCAAATTGAGGTTTTCGTTTGGAGTGCTTCGGGAAGCATCTTATTGGATTCTTTGGCTTCGACTTTCCCGACGGTTATTGCATATATCATTGATACACCAAGAACTTCATCTACGAGTACTTTTATGAGTAACATGCTGTATGCATGCAGCATTCTATACAAGACAAAACTGCCAATGATTCTGGTCTTCAACAAAACGGATGTTAAGGATGCTGAATTTGCTAAGGAATGGATGACAGACTTCGAATCTTTCCAGGCTGCTCTCAGAGAAGAGGAGGAGGCAGGAAGCTTCGGTGGCCTAGAGGGAGGTGCTGGTGGATTAGGTGGTGGTAGTGGATATATGGGATCGTTGCTCAATAGCATGAGTTTGATGTTGGAAGAGTTTTACAGTCATTTGAGTGTGGTGGGCGTCAGTTCCATGACTGGTGCAGGTATTGATGAGTTCTTTGAGGCTGTGTCAGAGAAGGCTAAGGAGTTTGAAAGAGATTATAAGCCAGAATTGGAACGCCGAAGAAGACAGAGGGATGCAGAGAAGGAGGAAAATCGAGGAAAGGAATTGGACAAATTGATGAAAGATATGGCTGTTTCGGGAGAGCCTTCATCTTCTAAAGCCAAAGGTCCACCAAATGCTAAACCCTCCACCGATATGGATACGCTAAGTGATATGGAGGACTCTGATGACGATCTAGCGGCCGGTGGAGATGACGATGAGGACGGTGGGGATAACATTGAAGGATTAAGCTCAAGATACAAGGCAGCTTTGGCAGATGGAGGAGGCCCATCTAATGCAGACGATCACAGCTTCACTCGATACATTAGAGCTAGCCAAATGAATAATATGCAATAGGCGTGGAGTAGGGGCAAGATTGGCGAAATGGGCAAAGGAGTTCTAGGCTTAGGGGTTTTAGCATTTAACGGCGCATCTATGCTATGTGGTGGCGCATATTGATACCAAAATATAGCTTTGGGTAGAAAAAAATGTAATTCAATGTACACAATATGATTGTCCTAGTCCTCTATCGAACATACGCCGGCCATCGAGTAGTGACAATCTTTTTATACCCATGCGCCTCGAGATTTGTCTCGTACCTTGACCATTACCACTCCATCAAAATTGTATCAACCATTTCCCAGACCCCTCCCAAATCTCTTCATTCTCCAATGCTCTCGCAAATCTTTTCTATCCTCACATATTCCATCACATGGCCTCGTTTGCTCTCAATTTACCCATCCACTCCGCACATTTACCCAATCATCTTGCCTCGAATTGAACCATTCTATCACCAAAGTAAGTTTCTCTTCCGCAAAATTTAACACCCCGCTCTTCTCGAAAAGTCCACATACCTGGAGGTTCTCTCCTTGTACAAAACACGATGACCGCACTCTTTGCATCTAATCGGATCGCCTCTCTTCAACATAACACTTGCATTACAATCGCCGCACAGATATTTGATCGCAGGTCCGTCGCCCAAAACTCCGGATGCGCCATATGGATTGGGGGCTTGGGTGGGGTTTGTCGCTGGGACAGAGGTAGGTACTTGGTAATCGTCTGACATATTGAATGCTTTACTTTTGGTGATGGAAGGTTTGTGTTTGTGGGAGTGGTGGAATATGGTTGTGGAGGAGGGTGTAGCGGGAAGATTTTCTTACAAAGAGAGATGGATTATTATTGAGCGGAAGGCTGAGAAATTATTGTGGGGTACAGCGGCGAGAGAAGAGGCTAGATTACTTTGGGGTTAGACAGGTACCTATGTATATGTATATCAAAACGCTAGTCTCAAGCTTCACTCAAGATATATTTTCACTTATTTAAGTTAATCTTGATAGGATTCCCAAAATAGAATATCAAAGTGTTCCGAGACCAGTTCTGCTGTGACAGAATCATGAGATTCCTGCATGAAATGCCTCTGGTACTTATAAGTTATTATGAGAGATTACGTGGTCCTGCTGTACTGCTGATGCATTGTAAAGAATTTGGTACTTGAGGCTTTAAACTATTTATTTACCTATTAGATAACCTTACCTAGGTAGGTAGGTAGGTAGGTAGGTAGGTAGGTACCTATGGCTAACAATCTTCCATAATCCCATAATCTATCAATACATCTATCTAGCTATATTTATCCTGATGATCAATATCGATACTCTACTCTATACTGAAATCCAGCTTCCAGCTTCCAGCTCGAATACTCATCCCATTCTACCTACTCGAGTACCTCCCTCCCTCCAGCCAGCCTACCTAGCTACATCCAATTTGGCGATTTTGCAATTTGGCGATTAATAATTAAGCTTTCTATTGCACGGACTCACTGGTCCTTCACTTGAACCAATCATTCTCTTATACAAAATCTATATCCTTGTCATTCCGCATCTAGCCCTTGCCGGAATCTACATACAGAGTAACAAACTCCTTCACCTTTTTCCTTCAACCTCAACTGCTTGCTTTTTGCTTTTTGCTCGTGCTCGTGCTTGTGCTTGTGCTCGTGCTCTCTCATCCCACCAACCTCATGCAAGCACCAACAATTTATTATTTATTACATGCAATCATATCGACAAATCTGGTAGTACTCAACCCACGCAACCATGGAATAATCCAAACTTTCTCTTTTTCTCCCTCTCATACATTTTGTATCCGCATTCGTTCATGCTCATCAGTAATATCCTCTCTTCTATAAACCATCGGGTTGTGGCGATCTCATTGTAGCCCATCTTTTTTTTTTTTGGAATACCCTCAAACTTTTGATACGCCTTCTTCATAATCTCCATAGTCTCCATACATAGATCTATAAAATCTAATTCAATAATACGTGCGTGCACGTCAATACTTGATTTCGCATATGATGCATCATGGTATGTTCTCTCTTTACAATCCATTCAAATACATCTTTCGTATTTCCCAGTAGGACTTTGTTGCGCCAACTTCCAATGTCTGAAATGTTTGAATTAGTTTGAAATATTCAAACTGAATTCAGGAGTCAAACATTGTCCAACTACTGAAGAAGATTAAATCAAATATTCAAATCAGGTCGAGAAGTTAACCGCTGACATGAATTTTTTATTCAGGGCTGTTGTTTTTCCAGACCCCGCACTGAATACTCTGCCGGAGCTGGTGCTTCCTCTTCTCAAGCAATCGCATCATCCTCGCGACCTCAGTCCCGATCAGGTCAAGCTAGACCATCGACCAATGCCTCCACTAGTAGCAATCCTCCTCCCCGGAACCACCACCGCATTCCCCTTGATGAACATCTAAACAAACCTCTGAAGCCCCATGTATGGATGAGTGGAAGTAAGTTATGGACACGACGAGAAATAGATCGAGCACGGATAGAATTCTTCGACACTCGTGTTACAGGCAGACCCGAGATATGGCAAGCTATAAGAGCTTCGTTGGAAGTAATGTGGAAAGGTGGAGAGCCTGGTGAGGATGATGGGGGTCTAGCAACTGCGCAAATGATATTGAATGCGGCAGAAATTACGCTACCGGATGGAGATATGGCAATTAGGGGATGTTATGACAGTACAGGTGCATTATATCGTGTACCCGAACACGTTGTTTCTGATCCAGCGAACATCTTAGACGATGCTACGGTAGAAGCAACAGGGAAGAGCGACGATGAGGGAGATGCGGCGGAAGAAAGTGAGGAGGTCGATGAGGAAATGTTAAGGAGGAGAGAAACGAAAGGGAAAGCCAAGGCGAAAGAGATGATATCAGTGAAAGCGAGGTTCCAACATGGTATTAATGGAGATATAGTGTTCAAAATTGGGAAGAACGATCCGGTGCGCTCACTTATCAAAATAATTACGCAGAGGCTTGAGGTTTGTATCTCTCAAAGGTTTTCCCCAACTTCCAAAGCTAATTAAGTGAATTAGATTTCTCCACCCAAACATGTGAAAATCAATTACATGGGCAAACTCCTCAAAGAAGGCTCATCACTGACAGCACAAGGGTGGCAGGAAGGTCACATTGTTAATGCTTGGGTACTTGAGTCGAGCAAAACAGCGTCGAATCGAGAGTCGTAGTGAAGTTGTACATAATAACGGCCCTCGCTCAGCACTTCCTCTACAAACGACATTACGAACTAACAACAGTTTTCTCGTTTTTCCTTTGGGCAATACCCCATCCATACTTGGCGTTATAGGATAGGCTTCAACGGGCGGAACGAATCTGGTTGGAATACCTTGGTTGGTTCTGCCTGCGTATTCATATATCTGATCCATCAGCGTTGTCATTTTTTTATTTTTTTATTTTTTTAAAGCTATACCCCTCCTCTTCATACAGACAATGCCGTGCAATACGCACCTACATAATAATAAAACCCAATAATAGTACTACTCATGGTACCTGATAGTCCAGAATGGCAGAACATACGTGAATGTTTGAGCGTTCGATGTTCCAGATCAATTGAATGTTCTCGGTAGCTTGGATGTTACACTTGAGATGAATATTTGAGTGATCTGGAGTCCAAAATAGGTTCAGATGACAATGCCTGATGTAAAACCAACACTCGCACATCAGAGCCGATTCCAATACCAAGAAACACATCTTTTCGGTCAACAGCTCGCAAAATTGACCATCCTAAAACTACCTACAGAAGGGGGGCCAAGACTCATCACCTACTCATGTTCAGAGGGTTTGCTCAGCAAACAATACATACCTATTTATCTCGAACGCTCGAACGTCTGGACCTGGCTATCGACAAACATCACTCGCTTTGCATTCGAGATTTGTGTATTTCTCCATCTCTTACTCACATTTGGTTAGCTACCTGTCACATGGCCAGGTTTTCTTGACTAGGTTTTCTTGACTAGGTATGGAGCTCCTGTTTTCTTTCCTGGTGGAAGTAAAGTAGGTAGGTAGATAGGTAGGTAGGTATGTAGGTATTTTTCATGGACTTTTTTTCTGCTCTTGATGTGAAGTGATATTATAGGGTGGGTTTGTGTGTATATACTAGGTAGGTATATATATATATATATGTGTGTGTGTGTCTAATTAGAGCAGAGATTGTGATTTAATATTTGAGAGTTTTTTGGGGGGGGAGAGGGGTTAAAATTATGAATAAAAGTAAGAAAGGATTTGATATCTCTATGGGACTTGGTTTTCACTTATAGGTGTGATTCTTTTTTGGGGGGGGGGGGGAGAATGTATGTTTTCTGAGTTTTGTAATATGATGTGTATAGATAGTCACTGGAATTGATCTTGTTATGAATGTGCCTCGAAAAGACTAATCTCTACTCGAGTACCAATCTCATTGTTACAATTTACAATGCATACTGGAGATTTTGGCTCTACGAAATAGTTTTTGGGCGGGCTGTGCTGTTCTGGTGGTGGTGGAACGGCATGAGTGAGTGAGTGAGTGAGTGAGTGAGTGAGTGAGAGTGAGTGAGTGGGGTGAAGAGATAAGATTAAGATTAAAAGATCGGAGCGGAGAGAGGGAGGGAGAGAGGGAAAAGCTTGTCTGTCTCGACAAGGACCCCTCTACTCCACCACCCGAAAAAGAAAAAAAAAATCTCTTCTCTATTCTCCTCCTTCTCCACCTCTATTTATCTCTGCTTTCATTTCTGACATTCTAATTCCCTAGTGAGTGTCTGCTCATTCGCAAACTTTAAAAATTGCCACAAAGATTCAACATTCCAAAAAGGTAAAAAATCAAGCGTCTTCAATGAATGATGGGAATTGAGCCCAACGGGGGGGTCGAACCCCCAACCTTGTGATGGACTAGAACATCTTGCGATGAATAAGAGTCACACGCTCTACCGATTGAGCTAGCCGGGCAGGCTTTGCTTGAGCTTTGTTGAAGGAAGGTTTCTTATTCAAAATTATATTCTATGTAATGGGGCGAAGGAAAAATC